TTGTTGAGCTCATGAATCTAAAGGAAAGGAGAGAGAGAAGGAGAGAAAAGGAGTAGAGAACAGACCAGCCACCACTGCCAGGACAGTGAGAAAACAGTGCAACCAGCAGAAGAAAGCAAGCAGCAAGACCCTGCCACCGTGGGCAGAGTTAAAAGATATCAAAAAATAATGTCTTGAAAATAATGTCTTAGCAAATGTCAATAAGTTCCAGGAGGTGCAGGGCAACATCTCCTCAAATCTGGAAACCTCAAAGCAGATCACAATTCCCACCAAAGCATCAGTAGCTTTGATAAAACCCCATTACCAACAAAAACATCAGGCTGTAAATAGAGACATCTATCTTGCCATCATTCCCATGCTGCCCCAAATTAAGTCAACATCAGTTTTCACTTCTTCCTAACATATTTTTAAAGCTGTTACTACCCCATCACACCTCTGCCAACATAGTGCTGGAAAGGAAGAGGGCAAGAATTTCCCATGGAAAATTCCAGGAAGAAAAACTAAACCTGAAAGTTTTCACCATCACGCTGAATTTTTCTGACTTCTCCATGTATTGTTTTACCCAGATGCTTGCCTGTCTCTTCTCCCTCACTTTTCTGACTTAAAAAAATAAGGGCATGGAGAAAAGAGCAGAGAAGAGAAAGACAGACAAAATCCTGAAAATCAGAGCGAAGTTACTTTCCATGCTCAAGAACAAAGACAAATCTTTGTGGTAATAGTGGATTTCAATTAGATACTAGGAAGAAATTCTTCCCCGTGAAGGTGATGAAGAACTGGAATAGGTTGCCCAGAGAAGTTGTGGCTGCCCCATCCCTGGAAGTGTTCAAGGCCAGGCTGGATGGGACTTGGAGCAACTTGGTCTAGTGGAAGGGAGGTGGGAATGAGACAGGTCCATAAGATCCATTCAAACCCAAACCACTGTACAAACTATGACCACTGAAAACATAAAGGAAGCTTTTATTTTTCTCTTTAGAAATTGAAGTCTCGCTTTTTTCTAAGTCTCTCTCCTTTGATCCAAACAAATAAAACACAAATGAGGAGAAACATTGCTCATTTTATGACACTAGCAGTGCATCACTCTTGCTCTGAGTGGCTGCTGCCCATTCAAAGGGGAATGAGCAGCAAATGCAGTAAGTAAATGCAGTAACAAGAGATGTGAGGGTTTGGCTTTGTTTTTATAACATTTCCATTCTTTAACTTAGTTTCTATGCTTGCTAGTGTTTAATTAATTAGATCTTCACAATAGCTTGGAGTGATTGCAACTGCTTAAGGGAAGATGAATACAAAAATCTGACACTGTGGAGAGCAGAGCACTCTCATTACCACGCCAAACTGAAAGCATCTTCAAGCAGCATTAAGCTCACAGGCAGGAAGCAATCCAACCCATCCCTAAGTGGTTTTCAGCATTGTTTAAGGCCTGACTCTTGCATCAGTCCCAGTGACAATGAGAAGCCTGTGATGGTTCATCAACTTCAGAGACAGTGACGAATTGAGCACCAGCACTAACCTGTCACCATAAGACAGAGGTTGGGAGAGATCAGAGCATAATGCACAGTGTGCCATTGATGCTGACGGATATCTACAAGGATAGGAGCGGAAGAGCTTGCCTTCATTCTCCTTCCTGAGCAATCAATGCTTGCTTTAATGCAGAGTGGGCATCCCATTAGGGCACATCCCATCAGAGGCTGGTTCATCATACACCGCTCTCTGTGTCACAAAGGCTGACAAACTGTGCTCTGTACTAAAACATTCAATGTAACAAACTTAAACCACAGTCCATAAGGTGGACATCAGTTAGGGGAAACTATGCCTTGCTGCTGGGTAAGGAGGACAGGTTAGTCTAGCAGAGGTGTTGCCTCCTGTCTTTCAAACACTCAAGACCTCTAACAGAAGCTTTACTTCAAGAAGAGGAGCCAGACAGTATCAAAGCTTTGGGAATCCAGAACCACTGAGCTCTCTTGAGGTACCGAGCAGGATGGTTTTTGGGGAGAAACTTGGTAAACGGGAGCTATTGCTTGTGAATTGGTCCTGTTCCTACCTGACTTCTAAAGACCTAAATGTAAAGACCTGCAGAGTTCCCAATTAATGGCTTCTTTTCATGTCTCATCAAGTTTAAGAGATTTTTAAAATAGTTTGGATTTTTTTAAAGGTTTTATTCTAGCTCCTGGAGTCACAGAACTAGGGAATAGCCTCTGATTTTGTTACTGGAGAAGTTAAGCTTCTTGAGTTTGGGACTGAACTGTGTATCCTCTCCAGAATTGAAGCAAAACTGATTTTCAGATGAACTATATTTTTACAAACTTGCCCCTTAAGGTAGTTTTAGGAAAAGAGAGTTTCCATCTGTGAGGTCAAAGAGGTGAGCTCTCCACCCCTTGAAACCTTCAGGTGCCAACAAGATGTCTGTCAGGAAAACACTGAATTTGAAGACAGCCTCTGGGATCCAATACAGGGTTAACAAACATGATTCTGAACCCTACAGCCCCCATACCAACATCCCAAATCACCAAAGGGCATAGCCTCTGAGAAGTGCAGCTCCAGCTGTATTCATCCATCCTTGTTGTCTCCTGGGATGTCTCTACATGACATACCCTGGAAGTGCCTGTAAACAGCTCCAGAGCCACTGCTTCACTGTTCCAAACTCAGGACAAGGGGATGGACATCTTTTCTGAACCTCTTCCAAGCTCTGCCAATACAATAGAACAGGCTAGCACTGAAATCTGTGTGTTCTTGCCTTCTCTCATTTTTGGGCTTGTTTCTGGCCTCTCCTTGGCCAACAGCAACCTGTGTACATTGTTCTGAAGTTAATGGTCCAGCACAGAGCTGGGTCTTTTCCAGCTGGGTGAGGAGCAGGCTGGGTGGGAGGATGGTTGCTAGCTTTAAACACATCAGCAGCACAAAGGGCAGGGAGGATGAGGAGCTATTCAAGCTAATAAACAACAGTGGTGTAAGAGTGAAAGGGGTTAAATTGGGAGTGAGAAGATGTCTCATAACCATTAGGGTGACAAGGCTCCACACCAGCCATCGTACTGGTGTGATGGAGCAAAGAACAAAGCACACCAAACTGCCCTGAAGTGAGAGCTTGCCCAGCTGATAGAGGAAGTAATCTGAAGCGTTGGTAGGAATTTGGCCCCATTTCCCCACTGCAAAGCATGGTACACATTTCATGCCTAATGTACCGTGGCCTCATTAAGGACACCCAGTCCAGGGTTTTCCCATTTACTGCTGACTGAAAAATGAATGGTATTTACTAATTAAAACCTGTGCCCAGAGAAGTAAAAGGCAAAGAAAAGCTTTCCCT